AATTTAACGAATAGCAGCTAAGTGATGCCCAGGTTGCGTTTCCAGAGCGCAAGCGTATTACTGCCGTTGATTCGTTATGCGGCGGATTTTGAAACGAAACTTCAGTGTCACGAACCAAACTTTGGAGTCATTGGGAATAAGGCAGATGGGTCAAAAATTGATGGTCTGAATACCTGAGTCTATTATAATAATTCCGTCCTTATCGTTATTCACCATATTAAGTTGTTCTCCGGATATTATATATTGGAAAGTATCAATACGAAAATGTGCAACAAAAGTGGATAGATAGATATTAGACTCACTGTGGTAGTCTTCTTCGGGAGGTTTTCCAGAGACTAAAAAGTGTTCACAATTTCGGATCACCAAATGTAGTTGCCGTCGAGTTGCGATTGACTATGATCACCACCACAGGAAGATTACGTGTCAGGTACTAGGTTGGATCCCTCTATAGGCCGAAAAATAGAGGGCAGTTGAAAGTTGTAATAAGATATATTAGTTGGCGATCTCATGGTATCGAAAAAATACCGAGTTGTGCCGAAGTTTACAAGCGGAAGTGCCGAACGTACGTGAGTTCGTGCAAGGTCACAGACAACGGAAGATGTGTGTCTTTGGTACACTTAAACAAACAGGTACAGTAAAACAATCACTGGTACAATTGACAATAATAATAATTGTTTCCATCATACCAATCTTGTTCTCTTCATAAAGTAAGTCACTACAGTATTTTATGTGCAGAATATAAGGAGATTTTTAAAATAAAGGGAAGACGACATGTCAGGTGACCAATTTAAAATACAGTATGTGTATTCGTACTTCGAAATGAAAAAAAAACGTACTTCTTAATAACGATAGCTCAAGTATACAGTAAAGCACAAATAAATTAGTCATTGAACAGTATGTAAAGATTGAAAAAATGTGAAAAATTTCACAGGCGGCATGTGATTTGAAGATAATGCTTAGTGAAAATCAACATATCACAAACATTATTGATAACTAGAAAAACATGTATGGAATTCAATACAATCAACATAAGTTAATTTACAATCAGATTAGAAAAGAATAATAAGTATGAAGGCATATTTTCTTGAATCTAATTAGAAATCAGTAACACCATACAGAAGTTTAAAATAAACATATTAGAGACCATTGGAATGAGAAAATTGTAAAATTTGAAATAAATTTTCTGTGAATAATTATCAATCACACAAGTGGAAAATGTAAAATAATGTTGAAAAACTATTTCATACTTTCTAAAGCTGTTTAACCTATGAATTTAGTTACTCTAGAATGTCAGTATTAAATATTAAAATATGAGATTGAATAATTTTGCCCAAAATGATTATGTTTCGTAATAGAAAAACTCAGTATTTCTCTTCAGACATCAAGAATACGAAAAACACAACTTGACTTCAAATAACATGGATCACGAATAATTTGATGAGGCTGTAAATTATCATCGACTGAGGTATTTGAAACTTATATTACCTTTGAATAGCTACTGCCTACATCTACAATCAATGTTGGATGTCATAGGATCATGGTAGGAAAACGCTAGGGCGAAAGAATCAACTCGTATTACCTGTTCGACATTTCTTCACCTGATAGTCAGAACAATATGGATAGCTGCAGACTGTATGACTGGTGCCAACGTGATGACCCAAATCAAAGTCAGTTATAGGGGCTAAAATCAGCTCATCTTTCTTCTCACTTCAAACTATGATTTGCAATAGTTCTTGACACACTGATTCTTTAAATTCCTTCATTTAAGACCGTATTCTCCACATTACGACCAAAACTACTCTGATTTTGGCGTTTTTTCCATTTAGCTTTACAATGGCTTCTTGTTGTATGAAAGCTGTAAGACGATGTAAGTTGATGTAAATTTGTCTTGGACAATATGTTATTTGTGACTGACTGGTTAACACCTTGTGCTCTGAAAATACATTCAATCTTCTTAGTCAACAAATTTCTGTCATCTCCCTTTATTCCAATGTTAAATTCATAACAATAACGTTATACTTTTAAATTCATTTAGTATCGTTTGTTTGAATCTTCCCATCGATGTGTCAGGACTGCAACTGGTCAGTCTCTAATTGGCATATGTGCATACTGTGCGTATTGCCTCAGTATAGCCTTAATTCACAAGCATAGTAAGCAGAGATGGATAGTGGCTAGCAGTGGAATCCAGGACGCGCGTTTCGTCCTATTTGGGACTCGTCAGCTGGATTTACCTGCATCTCAGAGTTGATGTACACTCTGGGACTCGAACTCAGTACCCTCACTTCGAGTCCCAGAGTGTACATGAACTCTGAGATGCAGGTACATCCAGCTGACGAGTCCCAAATAAGACGAAACGCGCGTCCTGGATTCCACTGCTAGCCACTATCCATCTCTGCTTACAACGTTATACTTTTGACTGATGTATGCGTAAACATATAGTCTACCTAGAATTCCGACAGATCATCTGTCCATTTCTCCTGGGGTTTATTGGTTTTCTAGTGAACATCATTGCTTGTTAACAGTAAACCTTATGTGATATACAAAATATTACAAACCTACTGATAAGAAATGTTGACTTCTCTCAATTATTACTAATATTGAAGCTTCAAAAATATGTCTTTTGTGATAAGATTTAGGAAATCTCCAAAAACCTGCTGTCAGTAAATCCGTAGTGAATGATTTTGAGAAGCTCTTATGAAGTTTTAGAGAGTTTGACTGTTTCAGAAATAAAAAACTTTTTATCGGTGGTACTGGATTATAATCACCAATACTGCAAACTTACTGGAATTTTCGTCGTCAGTTGTTGTCTCGTTAAAACAATGCTATGATTTATTGTTATTTGTTTTTGGTTTAACATGAATTCACGCTTACTGCTCTAATTAGACAGTGAATCCCTATCTAAGGCCTCCTTGTGGCGCTGTTGGGTATTAGGAACAACCTTGCTAGCTAACTTTAGCAGTCGGTGGAGATCGAACTACTATGGTGTAAACTGAATTACTTGGGTTCCAACTCGGACTCACTAATTCTTGCGAGCTGCCCATTATGTATGCTTATGTTTATGAATTGCATTAGTCCCTGCTTGTGTAGTCTGTATATGTAGATATATGCAAACGGTATGCTCGTGGGTTAGTACGAGGAAACTCGAACTAAATAAATGTCTGTTCTACGTCTAATAAAATCATCGGTTTATTCATTCGGATCACAGAGATAATAATAAAAAATATAGCGGTAAATACTAGGGAGAGTTGACCATCAACCTACCCTGAAAGAGTGTTTATACTCATGTGTATGTCATGAAATCCAAGGGTGAAAGCCTTTGTACAAGTGATATTAATATAAATTGTAAGTGATGGTCAGTGGTAGCAAATACGTTTGTAAGAGAGCGGTGGTCATCTACCCTCCCGGATGGGTGAATACATCTGTATGTACACTATGGGAAGCACAAGTGAAACCTTATATATTACAGGCATGTATGTAGACTATACTTGCCCAGGGTAAGTATACGTTACTTGCCGTATGGTGCGACACCTGCGTGCCGAAACCCGGGATCATCGTTCACCCTATTCAATCAGATCCACGCAGTGGGTTTGTGAGCCTTGAAGACACGGAATCCACTTCCGGAAAAGCAATATTGACTTTGCCAGATAGGGCTTAAGCAAATTCAAATGGCTGGAACACCATCAGCTACCGTAATCAGGTGACTAAATGATAAATTAAATGTAAACATTGTGTTTATGGCTTAGTAAGAAAGAGGTTTTTCCAACAATCCATAATCAAATATAAAATAGACTCTCTTTATTCAGATTAAAACAACTACCCGGCATCACTAACTCTAGTAGGTAAAAGTGTGTTTCAGAGCTAACCATGTGCATTTATAGTTGGTCGATAAATGGGTTGCACCCTAATATTATACTCAACTTAGTAAAACCACATCTATGTCTCCTAACAACAAAATGTTTTACAAATTGTCAATTATCATTTAAAAACCATAATTAATTGACAGACAGTTCATTAGAAAGCAAATCACATGTGAGAATTTATTATTATAAGTAATTAGATTGTATAATTTACGTTCATTTCTATTAAATAAATTCAAAATAATCTGATATTTCAAATCTATCACTCTATATGCTTTTAAACATTTTTACCAATCCTAAGCTTTACTTGAAATAAAATGTTAACCACATGATTTAAATGAACATGAGATCAAATGGTAACCTACTATGGTGTTTGTATAAACTAATTATTCCTTTGTACTCGATGACTGCTCGATTTCGAATTCGAAATACATTATGTTTGTTTGTGCTTATCTGGTCTAAATTTCTTTATTTCTGGGATTCTTATTTCATATGATGACTCAAATTCTTCTACTTGTCACATTTACACTTAACTACACAATATCAATATCTACTTCATTCTACTATGTTTAACACAACATGTATTCATTTCTTTTACTAAAATAAGTTCAAGTAGTGTTGAGCACATGTAAAGTGTTAATTTGTTCATTATATCAATGATTACACAATTCGATTTTTAGTTTTTCATCATTCGATAATTTCTAAATGACTGTATCCAAATACCTGGCGTTACATAAATGAACACTTAAATAATGAACAACCAATATAGGTGAATTCTTAACGTTAAAACACTAACTAAATCTATTACATTTCAGTAAATTAGAAGTATAATGGTGTTCTTATTGTATGAAAAAAACAAGTGCCAGGACAACTAACACAATCAATATATCTGTTTAGACTATGTAAACATTTTAACTTGACAGTATTCACACAGTTAAGAATTTTGTGACATATCATTGCCTATACCATATAAACGCTTGATTATTATAGCCTGAATAGTAAATTTTAACGTTTTATTGTAGGGGTCAAAATGGGTTAGTAGAAAGTGAAGAAATAAATTAAGGGTTTTACATAAGTTTTTAAGTAATCAAAATTTTCATTGAAAAACTTTATATAAGGTTACCTAAACTTTAATATATTTAGTCAGTCAATGATAAGTAACTTCCTTAGATACTTAAGAAAACGATCATCTTGCACAATATCTTCATGTGAAGTTTGTTCCAATACAACTAGATTAACATAGTCCCATTTATTACAGACGGATAAACTTTTTAGCGATACAATACCATCACCGTCACCATATTTTAATTTTGGTATTTGATTGGGAAAAGCAGAACGATATGGTCCTGGAGTTTTGAAAATCATCTGTGATATTGTTGGAATGTTAATACTGTAAATACAGTAAACATCAATATCAGTAGGCCTTTCATATGGATCAAATACACTTTTAGTTTCATTCATGATCGAATAACCTAAATCAGTAATTAATTGAACAAATAAATATAAAAATGAAAATGGAATGAATTCGTTTAACGAGACTGTCATAAACGTCTCACAAAACAGAATACACTTTTAGTTATATAACATGTGAAACTGAACAATTTATAAAATGAATAACCTGAGTTAAACGTAAAGATGACTTCCTACGTGGATTGAAATTAACTGGTAAACTAGTGAAGTTCATTAGGTACTGGACGACGTTTTCGATTTAGTTCATGACTAAACAACAATGCGTACTCATCACAAAGTCAGAAGTCGAAACTAAGACGATGGAGCTTCAAGCCAATAAAATTTAATGCAACTTTCCTATTTACTACAGATAGAACAAATACTAAAACTAAATTGAGTTATAAAAATGGTCATTACGAATGATGTAATAATTTCAAATGAAATATTACGTAACATTCAACAGAATTCTATATGTGACCCATATTTTTACTAACGTCTCTCTGTAATAAGCATTTTTATTTTATAATTGAACAAATTCAAACTTAGTAGTTATGCATGAAAACCAGTGCTATAATCAACTACTTTAATAATCATTCTGTAAATGAATATTTAGTTGAAAAATGATAAAGGAAAGATTTTGTATGAATTATGCAAGAAATTTGTATAACCTGCCTTCATTGTTAAATTTAAAACAGGAAAGTTGATTATACAGTACCTAGACGCCTCCAGTACATTCACTACCATTTTGTTCATACCCTAAACAATTACATCTAATTGCTCCCATGTAATTCATGGGTTTAGTTTTCTTTTCATAAAATTTTCAAACAGTTATTTGGTAGAAATTAAAATTATCATCATTAATTGCAAACCCTTCCTTAAAATCTTTTTACACTGTGTAAAGAAAAGATGTTATTCGCTGTTACACTTACATTAAAAATGAAATATTAAGGAAGTAGTTTAACAAAAGAAAACTACCTCTACAACAGACTCGGTTTAACTCCACTGGCTACAGCTTCTCGCTAGAACTCCAAGAAATACCTGATAAAGCCAGCCAGTAGTGAGCCTATTTTGTCAGTATACTTTTCTTTCATAGTGTTTCAAGATATAATTGACTTTTATATTTAAATATATTCTCAATTTAAACCTGTAGTTAGTAATGGAAATATGAATGTTAACATTCATGCTGTTGAGAGTGAATCAAGCATACTCATTCTATGAAGGTAGTAGTGCGGCGTATATACCAATTTTTCTTTTACAGAATTTATAAGATTTTATTTGTTGTTTCTACCAGTTTAAGTCACAAAAAATATATAACATATCACATATTTTGGTGGAGTTTTGTTCTCTGAGCTGGATGGTTTAGTTGTGGAGCTTTTGTCGTTGATCAGAACAATGTCATCAGCACAAACTCCATGTAGACTTCACTTCCACCTCACGTTTGTGCTGATGATATCATCCAGATCGACGATGAAAGCTCCACAACTAAACCATCCACCTCAGAGAATAAAACTCCACAAAAACCATCCACCTAAGCTACAAATCTTCTCTACCATCTCAATATCACATATTTATTTACTTGCCTTGAGGAAACGAAATATCATCAAAAAGTGCTTTCAAATCATGTGCTGAATAGTTTTTATTCGGAGTTATAATTAACTTCTCATTTGATGGCCATACACGTGGATCTGGTAGAAGAAATGTCATTGCAGGAAATGATCTTTGAATATCACGAAATGCTAATGGAGAACGAAATGGAATTCCTAAGTTATGACCTGGAAATAGAGTAAAAAGTATTTGAAAAATCCATTAACGTTATTCTTTATCACTTTCTATTTGATTTCATTGACTGACTTAAGGATTCAATTACTATTTGTAAATCGAATGTTTATAAAATAAATTTATTCTTATTCATGTGATGATCATAAATCATTTCAAACCATGAATATAATTCAAAGAGAAGAAATGAATTCAGAATACAGAAAGTATGTACCCAGAATGTATGCGTACATAAAGACCTCATCTTCCTACAACAACACGATCGATTTCGTTCCGTTTCATCTAACACTTTTAACCAAAGGTTATGTTAATTGTGAGGCCGCATATCAAAATGTTCTCATAAAACAGTTTGATTTAAGTTGACTAGGCAATTATAAGCAGGATGGAACAGAACTTGACCTGTCAGTATATCATTTATTTTAAACCTCTAAGACATAAAATAGTTCACATATACTTTTCTTATCTCACACCAATTACTGACTTTGGCTATACAACTGTTAAAAACCTCAAAGTGTTGAGTAGCTGTTCCTCAACAGTATGAGACTTCTAAGCAATGTATATAAATGACCACATCAGAAATCTAAACTGAGACATGAAGGAAAAGTTGATAGAACTTAAACCTTAGATCACAGGGTTACAATCTAATGGTCTACGTTTCTAATTTCAGAAGCCAAACGTCTCCTGCTTCCCAGTAGTTGTCTAGATATGTTTCATTTATGAACTAAAACATCACATTCTACAATACACACTGGCCCATATACTTATCTCAATGTTGTCTTTCGTGGAACACTTAAACAATACAATGAAGGTTTAAGTTCTAGGTACAGTTCTAATAATTTTTCGACTTACCACAGGTTTCAGCATATAGACTTTCAACAGATCCACCAAAAGGAGCTGACACAGATATAAATCCCTTGATATATTTACGTTTCCATGATTTATCCTGCTGTTTTAAAAAATACATTGCGTACAATGATCCTAAACTGTGGCCTAATAAGTAGATTGGACGCTTTGCACCATTTTCATAGGTCTCTTCAACCAGTTGCTTTAATTTGATGAAATATTTTGAATTTTCATCTAAAAAGAACGGTAAAACTTTGTTTTCCATTCTATTCGAAAATATACTTGGTGCTTTGCGAAAATCATACGGTGCAGCACGCAATGTTTTATTTCGCACAAAAAATTTGTCGCTTGTTAAACTTTGAACAATTAACTTCATATAACTTGTAAATAGATATTTATCTTCACTTAAATATTCACTAGCCCAAGTATCACCCCAACCAGGGAATTCAACATTACACAGACCTCTATCTCTCGTTTGTCTTGTTTTCGGATCATAAATTAATCTGTTTGATGTAAACAGGAAATATTATATAAAAATTTATTTTACCCCATATAAGATAATAATTTTTCCGGAAGAAGAAAGTACAATAAGTTAATCCAAATTGAAAATGGCTTCGTATGTGGTTGTTTGCCAGTTGGTTGACATAGTACTTGTGTTCCACCGATTCCATGTATTAGTACAATAGGATATCGAATATTTTCATCCTTGACTTTTTCCAAAGTTATATCATTCAAATGATATGAAGGTGATGTCAATGCTCCATTTAAAAAAATTAACTGTGATAAATTACCAAGATTTATTGGTATGAGAACAAAAGTATAAATAAACTAAATTTACCATTAATTTCATAAATATAACCATGTTAGTTATTATTTAAATCTCATTGAATACTTATACATTGTTCTGGATAATATTGACATTGAGATTTTTTAAAATGTTGTTTAAAAATTTAAATCATTTGAATAGATACCTTACTTAATTTGATTGCCAGTTTTTATAGGTTATATTAAACATGATTTAATTATGTGGGCGATTAAATGTTCAACAATGAATAAACAAATTCATGTTGCAAAACCAATCAATCAACAAAGTAAACTTCTCAAATCTTAAAAATTAAATGAAAATTGCCTTCAACTATCATTATTAATATTATCATATGAAATTAATGTAAATGTGCAGGTAATTGAAAACAATAATTTGATTTACACATATTTTTAAATAATATGAATTTCTTATATAGTAATTAGTATTATATAGAATGTATTTCATTTAATTGAATCAACATTTTTGATGAACTAGTTTACTTACTATAAATCTCAGCCAATTGAGTCATAATAATAATAATAAAACATGATTGATAAGTATAAAAATAGATTTTCATAGTTAAAAGCATGAGTCAATTGAAGCTAGACCACCAAAGAAAACCTGGAAGCACTGAACATCCGTTTCGTCCTATTGTGGGACTCTCCAACAGTGCTCATCCACGATCTCATCTCGCTAGATTCGAACCCGGGAACTACCAGTCTCACGCCAGAGCACTTAACCGACAGACCACTGAGCCGGCATCCGATGGTGTTAATGTCTAACTTCAACCGATCCACGAAGTTCAGCAACCGTTCACCACTTGTCTTCAGTGATTTCGTATCTCACAACAGACCTGGTTGAACTTCACTGGTCACTGTTTCTCATTAGAACTCCAAGAAATATCTTTTGAAGTCAGTCACTAGTGAGCATATGATTATAATCGGAAGGGGTTTTATGGAGATTTCAGTATTTTCATAGCTGAAAGTATCAGTCAATTGAAGCTGGACCACCAAAGAAAACCTGGAAGCACTGGACGGCCGTTTCATCCTATTGTGGGACTCCTCAGCAGTGTGTATCCACGATTTATTTATTAATTGATAAATATAAACTTTTTTCTTAATTGATCATGAAAAAAACAGTTTTATTATTTTAATTAGTTGATACTAACCCCCTTGAATTGTGAATAACAATATATATGTCATTCTCTTAAGATTAATGTAATTGAGATGATAGAAAACTTCTTAAAAAGAAAAAAACTAATTATTTTTAAATAATTTTAATTATTTTTACAAGATAACAGAAGCACTTTCAACTGAACATAATTATTTGTGTGCTTTTTTGTTGTTATATCCCGATAACAATAGTGATTGGTAACTTTGGCGTCTATTTATGGACCAGTATTATGCATATATTTCTAATCGTATAATTGCTAAGTAGCTATATGGTGTGGTCTACTTATATCTATATAAGTAGTAAATGGTGTGGGTCAGGCATTGAATGTATTTTCGCAGAAGATCAATGAAGAAAGAACTGAAATGAAGCGCAATCGTTTGGAAAATGCATGAGCAATGGAATTAGAGAAGAAACAGTGAAGATTGAAACAATTGGTTGTTAATTTGCAAATTGACTGTTCATTGTTTGGTTATCAGAATTTACCGAGATAGTCTGTAATGTTTGCTTAAATACATTCGATTGTCCCCAACCGGTGTTTTGTTCACTACAGCTACACCATTCATATCCATGTTACTTGTATTATAAGCTTTATTTTGACCCATAGACTATTATTATTACGTTTTATCATTCTTGAGTTATCCCCAGTCTATTGATTACTGTTCCCCCAATTCACAGCCATATTTGGCTAACTCTTGTACAAATGTTATTTTCTATTTTATTGGTACGTTGTGGTAAGTCTGTTTGGTATATAAACTCAGTATATTTGAAATACTATGATTCATACCACAGAGGCTATTATTGGTGTTTTGGACCTAAGTGGCTGGGCTAGGCAGAGGCAGGATCGATGAGCGCTCTAGACTGCTCGTACGGTTTTCTTGTGTCACTATTCCAATCGATAATTCGCTGCTCTCTGATTGACGGTCTCATCAAGTCACTCACTAACTAGGCATTCACTCGGCCACAATATATAACATTTATATTGTACTTGAATCTTGCAGATAATATAAGTTTAGAAAATATAAACATTTCGTTTACCAGAGTTTTACAATTATGATTACATTTGTTGTATATATCGTAGATTACAACAAAGTAAAAGGATCTTGCATCATTAACTAAGTTACCGCACCTTTATCAATACTTCTTTTTCTTCAGCTATCAGCTCCAAGTTTTGTAACAGTTGAAGATTCAATAATAAAATCAGAATAATAAATGGAAGTAGGGTGCGAAAGATAGTTGTTTACATGAAGATTATAAAGAAAAAAGAGGATACAACAGGTGTTAATAACAACTTGTTGAATAATAATGGGTTTAGACCTTGATCTGAGATTGTGTAAAAGATAAATAACTACAGTGGGTCTCTATCTCTGACTACTTCTTCACTAGCTCCTTTTGAGCAGACAACGTTTACTTCACTAAGATCTGTCTTCCCAAACTTATGTACGATCACTGCTCTTCTTTTTTATCTGAAGGCGAATTGAAGGTAGTCAACAGCTTCACTCCTGGACACCTGTTCACTTCCTATCACCTATACCCTCTGGAATTATTACTTAAATAGTTGATAAAGTCATACAAACTGACTCTAAGGGAGTGTGTTTATCGTACAAACATTAGCAGCTTATTAGTTCAATCCTGATCCCCATGTTCAGAAACTAAATGTCTAAACTCATAATTCACCGTGATTCTAAATCACCTAATATTTTCAAGCTGTCATTTCCATATCCTCGCTCCTACTTTCTCCTCCTCAATCCGAGTGCATAAATTTTACCAACAGCATTTTCGTAGGAACACTTACTCTGTTGAACTGTGCTTTGAGTAACTTTCTCTAGGATTTCTTGAAACCTACTTTTTCTACTGTCATTCATATTAAAAAACTAATATGCTTTCTGTGGTTCGCAAGGTGTTTACGTTACATGTTTCTACTACAAGTTCATGCTACCTGACGAATTACAAAAAAACCAGGAACACAAGAAATATGCTTCACCTTGTTCAGAAATATATTTTAGACAAACATTAAATCATTGCGTTCATATAATTTTAAAGCAGTAAGACATATTATTAAATTAACTATGTGAGTTGGTTTAAATGCATAGTTTGTTTGAATAATTATAAAGAAGCACTTAGAGATTTTCGAACTAATAATATTGACCAGTGTTAATACACTTTTGAAGTATGAAATTCATCTTAGCTTTTAAACAGGCTTGAAAATTTTTTATTTAAAGCGAATTAACATTGATGATTCCAACATAGTTCAGAAAAGGTAATATATTTGCTAAATTAAAAATCTGCTAAGAAAAGCTATGTCTACCTGTTATTGGTCAACTGTGAACATTAGAACAAATATATTTCTATGTTTATCAGTGATTATTTCTTCCATAAATAAAAAACTGCATTCAACTGCGCATCAACCGTGAGTTATGTCTGCCGTTAAGCATACAGATTGCCTTCTAATATGTTTTACCAGTTGGTTTGTAATATTTCAAATCATTCAGCAACATGCACCTGTTTCGTTTTGTTTACATTATAACATCATATCATTCACTGAATAGGCGTCTTCTGTTAAATGCCATTTAAACAGTCCCTTGGAGAGTAAATAGTATTCTGTGCTAATTGAGAGCCTTAAGTAGGGGAGTCCTTCGTAAAAATACTATATTATCTTTTTTATTTAGTGTAAACGATTTACTCAGCATGAATAATCGATTTTCTTGTAATGCGTAAGGTTTTAGACACTACCTTTGTTAAATCGGCTTACAGTAAACTGTATCAGAGCCTCCAGAGGCTCATAAAGAGCCTCAATTAATCAGCGATTAGTTTGAAAATATGTGAAGTTATGCTACTAAAATAACGAGATCCTGATTGGCTGTTTAACATACTGCTACTATGGAAACTCAAGGTCTCTTAATTACTATAAAATCTCTGTATTTTCTGTACATAAATGAATCCTGTAGTAAGCGCTTCCCACACACTTTGTGCCTTTTCTCTGGTCTTAGAGTCGGTGTATAGTTCTATCTCGGGGGTACGGAACTAGCCTAGGGAAGCGAATATAGCGTTCAAAATCGGTCAGACGTAACAATTGGCTACAGCCTAGGTCAAATGCATATCAACCTTGTCTCCATAATGACCAAACGATACGTATGCTTATAAATTACCAAAATTATTAGTTCAAATTCTGTCGATTGACATTATTGACAAAAACGAGGTGGTTATATTATTTGTACGCACTAATGATTCCTTTGTACTTGATCACCCGCTGACTTCAAACTCCAAATACTGTAGATTCATTTGTGTGCATCTATTTCTACTTACTGTGAATTGCACTATTTCGGGCATTCCTAATAATTACAATAACTTGAATACTCTTGATCATCACAGGTATATAACTGCTTCTGAATATGGAAAATACAGCATAAATAAAGAACACGAATCATATAAGCACGTACATGGATCACACTACCAAGGCCACAGGTAGTAGAACAAAGTAACAGTGAGAAATACCTGAGTAGTAGCAGTGATAATTTTGATGAATCAGACTACGTCCAACGATTGTCAGAATATATGCGACCACTGTCTCCGGTGTCAACTCAAACACAACATCGACAGGTCGCTCTACCTCGAGAGTTATCTACCTGTTCACATGTTTTCATACGAGTAGATTCGGTACACAAACCTTTGCAAAAACTTTATGAAAGACCTGTCCACGTGACTTCCCGTCATGAAAAGACTTTCAAGGTTGATCACATGTCCGCGTCGAGATAGTCAGCATTGAACGTCTCAAACCAGCACACATCAATGACAGTGACCCAACTGATAAGCTGAGTTTCAATTCTAGGTTCATCAAACCTTCTAGTGGGATCTCAACATCAGCTTCGGATCTCCCACTAGATACA